AACTGGGAGAGAATCTTTCTGTATGGCACACAACACCAATCTAACACCTCACCTACAGCAATGTGCCAGTTGCCTGCATAACCAAACAGCCATGTTAGAAAGTACTTGGGGGCTAGCCCTCAGTCCAGTTAAATAGGGGACAGCGTTGGTCAGGGAATTCTGTACCGTCAGCCCACATTTACAGGCGTGACCACATCTGCCATCCTTACAGGCCAGTACCTGTCAACGGCTTATCTTCAGAGATGGACAATGGTCAGTACTTTACAGGCATCACAAGCAGTCAGGAGAATCACGTATTGCCAATCAGGGAGACGTAAAGACAGTGGTCAGGGGTCTTACCATTCTTGTTTAGAGGCTGTTCATTGAAGTCAGCCAAAGGTCTGGGTGAAATGCAGATGGAAGTTGAAGAAATGGCTTCAGGAGGGTTTCTTCAGTCAACTCAATTGGAGTGGTTGAGCAAAGCTGACACTCAGCTGGACATACTCAAATTCCCTTAAGCTAGAGTCCATGCGCTTTAATCAGTGAAGTGCGTGCATGTGGGATGAGGTTAGAACAGGCTTGGCTGAGGGCAGGCAGCGGAAGGGACACGGACCATAAGACCACATGAAATAGGAACAGGAGCAGGTCATTTGGTCCCTCAAGCCTGCTCCGCTATTCAAAAGAATCATGGCTGATCCAATACACGACCTTTTTTTGACTTTCCTGCCCTCTCCCCCACAACCTTTTAAGAATCTATTTATCTCAGCCACAATTATACACAAGGATGCTGCTCCCATAGCTCTCAGTGACAAGGAGTTCCAAAGATTCTTAACCCTCTAAGAAGAAATTCCTCCTCATCTCAGTCTGAAATTGGCACCACTATGTTCGGAGACTATGCTCCCTGGTCTTAGACTCTCCTATGAGGGGAATCCTCCTCTCAGTATTTACCCTGTCAAGCCTATTAATAATTCTATATGCTTCAATGAGATCATCTCTCATTCTTGTTAACTCCAATGAGTACAGTTGCAACCTTTTCAACCTTCTGATCATAAGACAATCCCTCCATATTGGGGATCATTCTAGTGAACTTTCTTTGAACTTCCTCCAATGAAATAATATCTCTCCTGAAATAAGGGGACCAACCTCAGTACTCAAGATGTGGTCTCAGCAGTACACTGTACAGTTGCAGTAAGACTTCCCCACTCTGATACTCCAAACATCTTGAAATGACGGCCAACTTTCCATTCGATGATAGACCACAAGATACATGAACAGAATTAGGCCTTCTGACCTATCGAGCATGGCTGATCTGTTTCTCAACCTCATTTTCCGGCCTTCTCCCTGAAACTCTTGATCCCACTACTAATCAAGAACTTATCTATCTCTATCTTAAAGACACCAATGACTTGGTCTCCATAGCCTTCTGTGGCAATGAGTTCCACAAATTCACCATCCTCTGGCTGAAGAAATTCCTCCTCATTTCAGTTCTAAAAAGTGTTATCCCTTCATTCTGAGGCTGTGCCCTTGGGTCTTAGTCTCTTTTGCTAATGGAAACACCTTCTCCACATACACTCTATCCAGGCCTCTCAGTATTCTCTATGTTTCAGTGAGATCCCCCTCATATTTCTCGACTCCAGTTATTAACTTTCCTGATTTCCTGCTGCACCTGTGCGCTAGCTTTCTGTGTTTCATCCCCAAGACCCTTTGTATTACAGCTTTACACAGTTTTTCTCCATTTAAATTATACTCTCCTTTTGTGCACCTTTCCAAAATGAATAACTTCACATTTTGCCACATTATACTTCATTTGCCAACTTTCTGCCCAGTTACCGAACCTATCAATATCTCTCTGTAAACAGTTTGTACCCCTCTTGCACCTTGCCTTTCCACCTATTTATGTGTTGTCTGCAAATTTAGCTGCTGTGCATCCTTTCCTTCTTCCAGGTCAATAGTATGTTGTAAATAGTTGTAGTCTCAGCCCTGATTCCTGTGGAACTTCAATGTTTACAGATCGCTAACCTATCTATGCCAATATGCCACCCATGACACCATCTTATGACTTATAGCTCTTGTCTTATGAATTAACTTTTTGTGAGGTACCTTGTTGCATGGCTTCTTGAGGTCCAAATACAACACATTTATTGTTCCTCAGTATCTACTCTGACTGAATCTTCCTCAAAAACCTTGAATAAAATTAGTCAGACACTATTTTCCTTTCATGAAGCCATGCTGACTCTGGTTGATTAGATTACAATTTTCCAAATGTGATGGTGGTGGTAAGGGGCAATTTGTCAAGATATAAGGGAGGCAGCAGGCAGAACAGCATTAGAGGGTATGGTAAGCTATAGTTCAGGGTATTATTTGCAGTTACCACCGTTTGTTCCTCCACACGGGGAGCGTTAGAAGACCACAGAGGCCATCAGCAAGGCATATTGTCAGGGTTCAGGGAGCAAGGTGGAAAGTTGGAGGCAAAGTTCGACGTGGCGAGCCTTCACCCTGGGGTTGAGAAATCAGGGTACTGCAATGTCAAATGGGACAGGAAAGCTCTAGGTGGTATCCGTCAATCAGGCAGAGCAGGCTCTGATGGAATCCACCAGGAGCTGCTAAATGACAAAGTAATATGGTCTTATATAATTAAGGGTATGTTATCCTCACAAGATGCTTTCCCTAATTTACCCTTCTTCCTGATTTCTTACACTATTCCCTTCTGTGAATCCACGATTTCCAGTTGTGACTGGACAATAAAAGTAGAATCCAAATAGATATTTTCTAATCAGCCTGTTCATAGATGTTTTTACACGTCTTTGGAACAATTGGAACTTGAATCCAAGCCTCAGAGGTAGGAAGACAACCACTGTGCCACAAGAGCCCCCGTGGATCCAAATAAGCTATTACGAATGCTGTTCTTGGCTAGTTGTCAAGCACATACCACACCTATGTTGCTTACCCATTATTGAGAGCACTTGGCCATTAACTACTGCTCTCCTCTTGCAATGTAAACAACGTGAGGTTTGTCACACTATTGCATGATACCATGTATTTATACTTCACCATTTCACTTGATTTAATTTTCCAAATTTATTCCAAGTTATCTTTAAAAGCTAAAAGTTTTCCTAAAAGGAATAAAATTTGTGCGATTATTCTTTTAGTGAAAGTTTGGAAGGTTATCAGGTCCAGAGATATAGTTTCTTTTTAATTGAGGTTTTCCGCTCATGGAACTTTAGAAGGCAAGTTAACTGATAATTTAAAATGGTTTCCCACCTCTGCCACACCACTGAAAATGCTGTTATATAAAAATTACAGATTACGTCAATTTTAACAATCTGATTGCAGCCTTTGATGGAGTTGGCTACACAATTCTCCTCCAATGCTTTTCATGCTATCCAGTCAATCTGGACTGGTTTTGCCTGGTTCAATTTTAATTGTGCAGTCACAACCAGAAATCTTCCTGTAGTATTCACTTCATGCCAGCAATGTTACTTCCCGAATCCCACAATGATCTATTATTGGCCCTCTTCTGATGGCCATCTAAACACAACGTCATCTGAAACATGATGCTAGGTTCCACGTGTGTATCACTTCATCACCATCTCTAGACCCATCAACTTTGTTCAATGTCAGCCTTTTTGTCTGACATCCAGTTCTACATGAAAAATAAATGGTTTTCTAATTTAATATTTAGAAGACATCATTTTTACCCCAGTATTCCTTAACCGCTGATTCTGCTCCCAGGACTGCTCACAGCCAGAGTTTACTTGCAATCTGTAACTTATGTAATGCTGATTGTAGCTTTGGATCACATCCTGTGAATTATTAACAAATACTTATACTTCTGTTAAGTTCAGCTGGTAAAACTCCACTTAACTCCAACTTACACGTTTCTATTTCTGCAAACTCCTCTAGTTTTACAACCCCCAGAATACTGTATTCTTCCAATTCTGGTATATTCTGCTTCTCGACATCTTTTGCCTCATCATCAATGTCATAGTTTCACCAATTTAGGTTCCAAAAAAATGTCACTCTCATTGTAATCTTCCTTCCCTCGGTCTTCCTGTCAGAACTCCTTAAACTTTGTGTCTTTGACCAAGCTTCTGGTCATTTGGTTTTTTGTTTTCTATATCTTGTCTACATCTATTCCAGTGCAGTACCATAGAAAGTTTTATAGAATCACAGCATTGTTATGGTGCAAGAAGCCATTCTGCCCATCAAGCACACAGGAGCTCTTCAAATGACCATCATTACCTAGTGCCAATCTCTAATTTCCACATATTCCTTCAAACTATTCTATCCAAATAATCACCAATTCCCTCGAGTGCTTCAACTGAACCTGTCTACACCACAATACCAAGCAGTGCACTCCTTATCATAATTACTCGTTGAATGAAAAAGTTATTTCTCATATCACCTTCTTCAGAGTCATACAGCACAGAAACAGACCATTCAGTCTAACTTGGACATCTGACTAGTCCCATTTGGCCCACATCCCTCTAAACCCTTACTATTCATATACCTACCTAGATGTCTTTTAAATATTGGAATTGTACCCACCTCCACCACTTCCTCTAGCAACTCGTTCCATAAACACTCCACCCTCTGCATGAAAAAGTTACCCCTCAGGACCTTTGTAAATCTTTCACCTCTCACCTTAAACCTATGCCATCTAGTTTTGGACTTGCCCCATCCTAGGAAAAAGACCTTGGCTATTCACCATCTCCTTTTGCATATCAAGTTAAGGGTGCTATAAAAATACAAATTATGCTTAATGTCAGCAGTCTCTTTATAATAAAACATCACACGACAGAAACATATTCTAAATAAACCACTGAGAATATTTGTACTTCAATTGAAATTGTACTTCAGTGGGGCCAACTTTCTGTAGAGAATATACAGAAGTGTAACTTCAGTTGAACGGAAACATATTTACATTAGAACAATTTAATAGAATATGCAACTTTTAAATTACCACAGATTTCAGCTACTTGTTAATATAATTTTATATAGAAGAAATGAAACAAGCTTACATTCCTTTCGACCTCAATTAGTCTATCTTTAACCTTCAACAGTTCGCGAGTTACTTCTTGGTTCTCTCGCTCCCATTTTCTTGTAGTCTGGTTTTCTTCACCAGGTCTACCTTGCAAACACTGCACATTTTTTTCCTCTTCTTGTCTCTGCTTGAGAGCTTCGTAGTTTTTTTTCACCTGCAACCATGGAGGTTATGAATATGCTGTTGAGTTATAAAGTAATACCTTACATAGTTTTAATGTTCCAAGTCAACAATTCTTTAAGTAAGATATTTATCATTTATCCTGCTTTGTGGAATATAAAGTTTTGCTCCCAAGTTTGCATGAAAAACTCCATATTTTCCTGTTGATTTCTTATGGCAAATTAAGTATGTCAAAGGTCACTCAGTGCAAGCAATACACACTGTACTATATCAGATTTTAATTAGGAAGACAGGTAATTTTCGGATTGCTTTCTGAGGGACTATATTCTATACACTGCAGATATTGTCAGTCTTTTTGGTCTAGATATGGATTGATAGGTAGTGTATTGACAGATGTTATGTAATCACTCCCCTGAGAACTTAAACTTATCAAAGGCTGTTTTTGGTTGCATACCAGGGCATTTATTACTTCCAACAAGTTTGTTAATGCTTCCCTTTACAACAATATCGAGCTATCATAATGATGAGCAAATAGCTGAAGCTGCAACAAAAATAAATACTCTTAATCTACTTTTAGCTTTTTAATTTTAAGAAAATAGTTCCTGGGTGTTCTGATGGTGAGGCGTCACTGCAATTTTGTCTTTCAAATATTCAAATGCTGAATCCCAGTTTGTTGGTAATAGGTAGGCAAAAAAGTTGATTAACTTTTATTATGGACAGTTTTCCTCTTTTTGTAAAGAAACAATAAAAAAAAGTTCAACACAACTTTGGCAAATAGATGTTTGCAAATTGGGTAGTACCAAGTGTCTAATTCTGTACTGGAGCATAATTTATCAATAAAACAGACCATTCTATTTATGTAGATGCCTCTTCTTGAGCCAAAACTAGTGAGAGGTCTCAAAATTTCTAACTTGCATGCCTTGACCAAACATCATTGAATTATCTTCATGCAGTGATAGATCAAGTTTTCTGCAACATTGTGTTCAAAAACAAAATCTGAAGGCCTTGGAGATCCATCAGCAATTTTTGCAGTACTTTAGTATATTCTAGAGTTTGAAAGTTAAACAAATGAGGAAAGTTTGTGCTCTCAAGCATCATGTTGAGGGTTTTCATGGCACAAAGACTTCTGAAAGTTCTACTTTTCTGGGCAGGGAAATCTAAAGAACTAGGCTATCCATTGACAACTCTACCAGCAAGTTGAACTGGGTATCAGCCTCTGGCAAAAATTTCGGTGTCAAGCCTGCCCTGGAGCCATATATTGTTTGGAGAAGCATGAATTAACTCAGGGTGAGTGTCAGTTCCCAGCTCAGGGAGAAATTACCACTTTTGAGAGCTACAGCTCTCTGTCCCAACAGCATCATCAGGAACAATGGTCACTGCTGTGACTGCATCCAGTCCCCGACATACATTTTTACTTGGACCAGATGAGAAGTACACTGGGGGGCAGCTTTTGATGAGACCAGTTCAGAAGGCTGTGGTGAGCGAGAGAGAGATGCGAGGGTAAGGGGACAGGTGGGGCTGGAAGGGGAGGCGAGAGATGGGTGGCAAGGTTATTTGAAATTGGAGAACCCAATGTTGAGTCCTCCAGGTTGTAGGGTGCCCAGGCTGAAGATAAGGTGTGTTTTCAAATTTGCGTTCTGAGTCACTGCGACACTGGAGGAGGCAGAGGACGGACATGTCAGAGGGAGAATTGAAATGGGCAGTGACCAGGAGGTTAGGTTGGCCGTTGCGGACCAGGCAGAGGTGCTTGGCGAAATGCTCACCTAGTCTAGGTTTGCTCGCATTGACGTAGAGAAGACCACATCAGGAGAACTGGCCCACAATAGACTAGGTTGGAGGAGATGCAGGTGAAGCTCTATCTCACTTAGAAGGGCTGGTTAAGGCCTTGAATGGAGGTAAAGGAAGTGGTGTGCCGGCAAGAGTTACATCTTTTATAGTTACAGGGGAAGATACCAGGTGGGTTGGAGTGGTTGATGGGGAGTGTGGCGCGAACTAAGGAGCGGTGAAGGGAATGGTCCTTGTGGAAGGAAGAGAGAGGTGGGGAGTGGAAGATGTTCTGGGCGGTGGGTCTAATTGGAGTTGGCGGAAGTGTTTGAGGATGTTACGTTGGATGTGGAGGCTGGTGGGGTGGAAAGTGAGGACAAAGGGGGTGCTATCTTTAGCGTGTTTGGAGGAAGGGTGGTTGTTAAGAGCTGTGGAGCGGGGAATGGAGGAGGCGCAGTGGAGGGCTGTCTGGATGACAGAGGGGGGGGAAAAAAAGCTTTGTTTGAAAAAGCCGGGCATCCAGGATGCTTGGGAGTGGAACATCTCCTCATCAGAGCAGATGTGACATAGACGGAGGAATTGGGAAAATGGGATGCAGTTTTTGCAGGATACAGGGTGGGAGGAGGTGTAGTCACCTGCAGCTCCTCCAACCTAGTCTATTGTATCCAGTGCTCCCGATGTGGTCATCTCTATGTCGGTGAGATCAAACATAGACTAGGTGACCATTTCGCCGAGCACCTCCACCTGGGCCGCAACGGCCAACCGAACCTCCCAGTCACCACCCATTTCATCTCCCTACCCCATTCCCTTTCTGACATGTCCATCCTCGGCCTCCTCCAGTGTTTCAGCGACTCAAAATGCAAATTTAAAAGAAGACCTTATCTTCTGCCTGGGCACCCTACAGCCCAGAGGACTCAACACTGAATTCTCCAATTTCAAATAACCTTGCCACCGAGCCCCCACCTTTCCTTCCATCTTCTGACCCTCCCTTCCAGCCACCAATCGGATTCATCCCTCCCATCGACCAACCACATCATACCTACCACAAGTGTCCACCTATCACTGCCATTCTGCCTCCACCCCTTCCCCCCCAACCCTCTTTATCTGCTGCTCCTCCTACCCCCACATCCAGTCCTGAAGAAGGGTAATACCAAAACATTGACTGCTCCTTTCCTCCAAATGTTGCCAGGCCTGCTGTGTTCTTCCAGCCTCCTGTTTGTCTACCTTGGATTCCAGCATCTGCAGTTTCTTTGCCTCTACCTTTACGACCATGATGTCATAAGTAATTGGCCATGGTAACTGGATGAAAAGGGTTCAGACAGGTGAGATGCAGCATAGGTTGCCAGTGTATAAAATGAGGTGCATCAACAGGTGGTAGTAGAAAGAGAAAGGGAGACCAGTGGAATGAGCCATCATCTTCTTGGAACAAGATCAAGAGTCTGATGGAAGAACAAAAGACTGTTACCACCAAAGACTGTGAAACATCAAGGATGAACATTCCAACGTTCCAAACTGCAGGGTTCAATTATGTTTTTCTCCATTCTACAGAATGGGCTTAGAATTGGTATTGCATTCTTGTCTGTCATGAATCATATTTCCTTTTATGCCTAATTAACCCATGCATCATACCTAAACTGCTACTTCTGAACAAACTCCCTGACAATTGCTTATAAAATGATTGACTACTTATGTTGGGTAACTGTGACCACAAACACCAAAATTTAACAAGGACCCATAGATGCAGATAAATGCACTTCCCTACATCCACCTCCCCCATCCACCACTGACATATAACCCAAACCTCATGTCTCATATCCCAGTCAGCTCCCCTACTCTCGGCATACATTTTCAATTGCACGTCAGTGGTATTTGTAATGCATCTGCCCAGTAGTATATTTGGTACCAAATATCAACTTGGTATCGGATGTCCACATGACATTTTGCAGGAGAAACAGTGCAAAAAGGACACCAGAGTCAGATGTCCAAAGACTTTCGAGCTTACAAACGAGGACCATGATATTTTGGAGAAATGTGGCATATCAGCCTTCCTGAGCACTGTAGATGGCAAGACATGTACTGCTGCAGGGAGACCAATTTAAACTCTCAGTTACTTAACTCCTAAAAGACTATGCCATCTTGAAATAACGGCAGAAATTGATGGAAACACTCCATGAGTCCGACTGTGTTTGTGGAGAAAGAAACAGACTTGATGTTTTAGATCCTGCAATCTTTCGTCAGAAACCGGTATTTTGACAGAGATTAGCACAGAATGCCTTAATTATGTGCAATGAGAATCGTATATTTTCATGGCTACATCAAATCCTTGTCTTTAACTTCTCCAATCATTGCACGAAGAATAGCAGTCTCTGTCCTTCTGAAGATGACAATTCCTCAAAGGAACTGATTCCTTCTGGAGTGCACCATCAAAGGTCAGATACAAACCTAGAATTAGTGCATAAATGAGCACTTTGGTGGGTTCTGTATTATAATTAGGTGGGATCTAACAAGGTACTTCCCAAGGCCAAAGACAGTAAGACAAAAATTCTGGCAGAACTTACTCTTCTCCAAACTGTGTTCATCTGGATAAAGAGCAGCTGCAAATGTGAGAGAAACTGGCAGCTTTTCAGGCACATTTCCCACCATTACAGATGACAGAGCAATCCAGCTGAAATGTTTGTCATTTATATTACAGGTCATTTTCTGGATGTCTTCCACTGAGAGAACAGTTTCTTCCATGGAATGTTAATCACAGCATCGCAATCATCCTTCTATACACTGATGGCTGACCAAGTATCATACATCAGCTCCAAGTGTTCTCTACTAGTGGAGCAGGAGTTTCTAATTTTTTTTCATTTGTACATTCATGGAGAATGGACATTGCTGGCAAAGATAGTACTTCATGCCTATCCTTAATTGTCCTTGAGAAGGGCTGTTGTTACGTTCTTGAACCACTCTATGTGGCGAAGATTCAGGATTTTGACCCAAAAACACAAGACATCAGTAAGATGCCCCAGTTCAAATTCCAGAGATGAATATATTATCTTAACGGAAGACATTCTCACCGCAAGGTGGTGTCACTCGTATTCACCTGCTAGCCATAACCTTCTTGGTGGCTGAGATCGTAGGTTTGAAAATAAAAGCATGAACACGAGTAGGTCATTCAGTTCTTTGAACCCGCTCAGCCATTCAATGTGATCATGTCTGATTTTCTATGTCAATTTGATCTTCAAGGAGTATGCATATATCCCTCAATTCCTGAAGTATCTCATGACTTACTAAGTTATGTCTCAAATAACGATACATCCAAATTTCTGTGAACTTCCAAAGTTTTTGAGAACTTCACAAGTTTGAATGAAAGAATTTCTATTCCACTCCAAATGGCTGATCTGATATTTTGATGCCCAGTTCAGGACCCCAAGTAAAAAAAACATCTTACCAGCATTTACCTTGTCAACTCCCTTAAGAATTTTACGTGTAACTGAGAGATCCTCTAAAGCTTTCATGAGCATTGGCTCAGATTACTTAAACCTAATACTAATTTCTTTACTTTCATTATTCTCATGAGAAGCCTTGGTAATCAATCATACTCATTCAAAAATACTTGTTGAATTTACTGGTTGGAAACAACCAATTAAAATTTTAGACTGAAGAAACATTCCAATCAATCACTCAAAATCATTCAAAACAAATGAACAGCTGGACCACCTACATTTCAAAGCCATTATAATGGAGGCATAGCTGCAAATCTCACAAGGAACAACTACCTTGAATATGAATGGGGAACCACCTCCTACCCCAGCAAATCATCCTGACAATCACTGTATTTCTTAAAAGTGGGCCAGATAACTCAGTAAAAATAATTTATTTGAACACGTGCACTTCCTCCATACCATGGAAACAACTACCCTACACTTGTACTTTACTGAGATATTGAGCAAAAGGATCAGGTTGCACATGTAAGTGCTATACATGAGTGGTTAAATAAATATAATATCTACCAAAGTAATGTTGTACTTCTCTTGTAGCACCTCAATCTATCCTTTAATTATCTAATTTGATGGTGCTCATGCTTTTAAATATGTATACAATGGTTTTCATTGTATCTGTTTGACAGGAGCAGGTTCTTGTAGCTTCTTTAAGGACCCCTGCTTAGGGCACTATAGAGCCAGAACAAAGCTCTCACCAGCTTTGACCCAAAATTTAGGCTGATGTCCTTAAGCTCTTCGACAACTAACATGTGATGAAATGGCTCACTTGTATCGATATTGAAACTTAAAAGTACAGATGGTACATGCCATGTTGTTTATTCTTTATTCCCACTTTCTGTATACATGATTTCAACAACATTGTTTCTGCTAAAACTCAGACAGTATTTGATAAAACATGGAGTCATAGTGTCATATAGCATGGAAACCAGTCCATGCTGAACATAATCCCAAACTAAACCTTCACCTGGCCCATTTCCCTCCAAACCTTTCCTATTCACGTACTAATCCAAATGTCTTTTGAACGTTGTAATTGTACCAACATCCACCACTTCTTCAGGAAGTTCATTCCGCATGCGAACCACCTTCTGTGTAAAAAAAATTGCCCTTCATGTCTTTTTAAAATCTCTCTTCTCTCACCTTAAAAATGTGACCCCGAGTCTTGTGACCCCTATCCTAGGGAAAAGGCAACGACCATTAACTCTACCTATACCTCTCATTATTTTATAAATTTCAACATGGTCACCTCTCAACCTCCTACTCTCCAGTGAAGAAAGTCACAGCCTATCCAGCCTTTCTTTATAACTCAAACCTTCCACACCCAGGAACATCCTGGTGAATCTCTTCTGAGCCTCTCTGGCTTAATAATATTCTTCCCGTAACGGGGCAACTAGAACTGGACACAGTACTCCAGAATACGCCTCACCAATATCTTGTACAATCTCAACATGACTTCCCAACTCCTATACTCAAAGGACTGAGCAATGAATGCAAGTGTTCTAAACGCCATTTTAACCACCTGTCTATACGGAACGCAAACTTAAAAGAATTATATACCTCAAACTCTGAGTCTCTGTTCTACAACACTATCCAAGGCCCTACCATTAACTGTATAAGCCCTATCCTTGTTTGATGTACCAAAATGCAAAACCTTGCATTTATGCGGATTGAATTCCATCTGCTATTTTTCAGGCCAGTGGCCCATTTGATCAAGATCCCTCTGTAGTTTTAGAAAAGCTTCTTCGCTGTCTACTATGCCACCAATTTAGATGCCTTTCAAATGTTGTAATTGTACCTGCCTCCACCACTTCCTCTGGCAGCTTGTTCCATACACGCACTACCTTCTGAAAAAGTTACCCATTGGGTCCTTTTTAAATCTTTCCCCTCTCAACTTAAACCAACACCCTCTAGCTTTGGACTCCCCCACACAAGGAAAAAGACCTTAAGCTATTCACCCTATCCATGCCCCTCATGATATTATAAACTTCTATAAAGGTCACCCCTCAGCCGCAGACACTCCAGGGGGAGAACAAAAAAAAAAAAAAAAAAAAAAAAAAAAAAGAGGAGGTAGTCAGCCTCCAGTCCTGGCAACTTCCTTGTAAATCTTTTCTGCACATTCTCAAATTTAACAACATCCTTTCTATAGAATGGCTGTCCAGAATTGTATGTAGTACTGTGAAAGTGGGCTCACCAGTATCCTGTACAGCCACAACATGATGCCCCATCTCCTATACTTAACGCACTGACCAACGTAGGCATGTGTGCCAAATGCCTTCTTCCTCACGAAGGGTTTCGGCCCGAAACGCTGACTTCCCTGCTTCTCAGATGCTGTCTGACCTGCTGTGCTTTCCAGCTGCACATTTATTGGCTCTGCCTTCTTCACCATCCTGTCTACCTGCAACTCCACTTCCAAGGAACTTTGCACCTGCACCCCGAGGTCTCTTTGGTTGGCAACACCCTCCAGGGCCTACCATTAACAGTATAGGTCCTGCCTAGGAATTGCCTTACCAAAATGCAACATGTCACATGTATCTAAATTGAAGTCCATCTGCCACTCCTCAGCCCATTGGCTCATTTGATCAAGGTCCCGTTGTACATCTTCACTGTCTACTGCACCACCTATTTTGGTGTCATCTGCAAACTTACTAACCACACTTCCTATATTCACATCCAAATCATTTATACAAATGACGAAAAGTAGCCAATCCAGCACCAACCCTTGTAGCACTTCACTAGTCATAGGCCTCTAATCCAAAAAGCAACTCTCTACCACCACCCTCTGTCTCCTATCTTCTAGCCAATTTTGTATTTAGTTGGTTAGCTTCCCCCTCCAAATCCCACGTGATCTAACATTACTAACCAGACTACCATGTGGAACCTTGTCAAAAGCTTTAATGAAGTCCATATAGACAAAGTGTGCCACTCTGCCTTCAACATTTTTTGTCACCTTTTCAAAGGAGTTAGTGAGACATGATTTCCCATGCCCAAAGCCATGTTGACTATCCCTGACCAGTCCTTTCTTTTCCTTTCCAAATATAAATCCTGTCCCTCAAAATCCCCTCCAACAATTTACCCACCACTAAAGTATGGCTCACCGGTCTATAGTTCCCTGCCTTTTCCTTATAGCCTTTCTTAAATATTGACATCATAGTAGCCAACCTCCAGGCATCAGGCACCTGACCCATGACTGTTAATGATACAAATATCTCAGCAAGGGGCCCATCAATCTCTTCCCTAGCTTTCCACAAAGTCTTGGAAAACACTTGATCAGGTCCAGGGATTTATCTACCGTTGTGTGTTTTAAGATCTCCAGCACTCTTCTGTAACGTCACTATTTACTTCCCCAAGTTCCCTAGCTTGTATGTCCTTCTCCACAGTAAATACTGACATGAAATATTCGTTTAGTGTCTCACCCATCTCCTGTGGTTCCACACATAAATGGCCATACTGATCTTTAAGGGGCCCTATTCCCTCCCAGTTACTCTTCTGCCCTTAATGTACTTGTAGAAGTTCTTTGCTTTCCCCTTAACTATTTGCTATAGCTATCTCATTATCCCCTTTTTGCCCTCCTGATTTCCCTCTTAAGTATAATCCTACTGCCCTAAACTCCTCTAGGGATTCACTTGATCCCAGCTGTCTATACCTGCCATATGCCTCCTTTTTCTTGACCAGAGCCTTAATTCCCCTACTCATTCAGCATTCCCTTCACACACCAGCTTTGCCCTTCATATTAACTGGAACAAACTGTCTCTATAGTCTTGTTATCTCATTTTAAAGGCCTCCCAGTTTCCAATCATCCCTTCACCTGTGAATAGCCACCCCCAATCAACATTTGAAAGTTCTTGCCTAACACCGCCAAAATTGGCCTTACTCTGATTTAGAACTTTAACTGTTTGATCAGTTCTATCCGTTGCAATAAAAATTTTAAAACTAACAGAATTATGATCACTGACCCAAAGTGCACCCCACTGACATCATAGTCACTTCCCTGTCTTATTTAATCACAGCTTGTGTTATTTAGAAGTTCTATTAGGTAGCATTCAAAACTTGCACAGAATCCAAATGTAATCTATAGTATTCAAAAAACAAAGAGCTGTGATTGCTGGAAATCTGAAAAAACAACAGAAATAGCTGGAGAAACTAGCAGGTCTGTCAGCATGAATGGAGAGAAAGCAGAGACAACGTTTCAAGTCCAGTGACACTTATTCAGAACCCTGAAATATTGACTCTGCTTTCTCTCCATAGATGCTTCCAGGATTGCTGAGCTTCTCCAGCCACTTCTGTTTTTGTAACTTATTATTTCTTAGGATATAGGTATCATGAACAAGGTGCACATTTATTACTACCTCTATCAGCTCTAAAGAAGATGGTGGTGAAGGTACTTCCAAACAGCTGCCTGTTAGGAAGTTCAAAGATTTTGACCCAGAAACAAGGAAGGGAACAGTAGTCCAAGTCAGGATGGTGTACTCGGAAGGGGAATTGGGATATGACAGTGTTCCTTTTCCATAAGGGTACACTTAATGCACATTTGTGAAACACGTATCTAGGGTTATTTTGTGATTAAGAATCTTAAAACAACTCTAAGTTTTGTGAACTTAGATTCTCAAACTGCAGTTACTAGAACAGCAGATAATGGAAATGCTGCTTGTAACTTGAGAACTTACCGTCTTTAATTCCTGCCGTAGTTGCTGGTTCAAATTTGTTGATTCTTCTAATCGTGCTTCAAGACTGGCAATTTTCTCTTCTTTTATTTCAAGAGACTTTTTTAGAGTGCTTTCTAACTTGGACTCCAAAAGTTTATACCTGCTGAACATTGGACATTGACAAGGAAAATGAATTAATTAGAGATTTTCTCAGCTATGCTTTAAAACAATTTGCTGATAATCTGATACAAAAATACAATAAGTGCAGAACACAGATGGTACCAAATTAAGTTCTTGGAACATAGTTTTATTTCCAAAACTGGGGTGGGGATATTCATTGCATAGATCTTTACAGGTGACAGGACATTTGAGAAATCAGTCAGTGAAGCATATGAGATGTGAGATTTTAAAATAGGGGTACAAGTACAAGAAACAGGGAAGTTAAAGGAACTCAAAAAACTCTAGTTAGGCTACAACTAGAGTAATATACATCCATGTTTAACACTGTTTGCTTCAATATTGCTAAGTTGACAGGGCGTGTACTCTAACTGAGCATCACAAGATTAGTTTTAATGTTATTTCCCACATGATCAGATTAGTGTTATTTTGAATGGTTCCTGCTGCCCTCTAACCCACTGATTTTTGCCCCCAACCCTCCAAGTGCAACCTCTCTCTATGCCAAACTCTCTTTTTCCACGACCTACCTACCTGCAGACTCTCCCTCTGCCTGATCAGCGTAGAAGACAGCCTCTTCCCCTCTTCAACCTTCCCAGTTCAAGATCCTGGTCGGATGCCAGAGCTCGAGGGTTGGGCAAGTGCAAACCCCAATGATGCAGAAGTGCTGAACTGCAGTTGTTATAATCTATGTGTTTTCATTTAAAATGTGACTTTGAAGCTGCTACTTCTGCCTCTTTCCAGCACCACACAGCAAAGATTCAGGAGTGTGATGCAGAAAGTTTAAAAAAAAAATGTGGGTTATAACAGCCACAGATTGGTGCTCTGGCGCCGTCTGGATTAGCACCTTCACAACTGCAGAGCTGTAGCATCACATTGGGATGTTGAATGGGAATACAAGTTCAGGAAACAGAACAGTGAAAGAATGTGTCAGGGTGAGAGACAGGGGCTGCAAGCCAGAGCGGTTCAGGAAGGGGGTGAGGCCGGATGGCAGAGTGCTTAGAAAGAGTACAGGATGACAATGGTGTGTTTGACAGGGGAGAGATTGCAAATTGGAAGATTGGAGAGGGGGAAAGAGTCTGCAAATTTGAGACCTGGGGTGAGGAGTGACTGGAAGATAGAGGGTCAGGAAGAAGAAGATCTGTAGAGACGAGGGGGACAGGGAGCAGTTGTTTCAGAAGCAAATTTGGGCAGCAATGAGCAGGACTTACAGTTAATAGAAAGTTACATTTTTTTCTGATGCTGAAGAAAATTGCTAAACTCCTATGTTGCTAAATGCAATGTAACGTATTTTGAATTACGCAGTACAATTTGTTTTCTTATTTGGAAGACCATACAAAATCTAACTATACTTTTTGCATTGGTTTTAATAAGAAAATTAAATTCACTTGAAGTCATTTATTTTCAACTTCAACTTTAAGTGAGGACTCGGTGTATTGCATCCAGTGCTGGTTACCACACTTTAGGAAGGTTGTGAAAGTCAAAGGTACAGAGGAGATTTACCAGAGAAGCTATAGAGATGGGGGGCTAAGCAAGCAGATGTAGTTGAGGTAACTGCACAGCATCTGAGTTAGAAGAACAGTTTAAACCAAGTGGAACACAGCTTGAGCTGGCTAAACTACAGATGAAGCAGCTTGAAAAAGGAAAAAGAAAGAAATGAGAAAACTTGAAAGCAAATTGAGGAGGTTTGAATATGAACCCCAGCGAAAGTAATTGCCGTGGGAAGGAAAAGAAAGGAAAGAAAATGAGAACTTCAATAAGAGGAAGGAGTTAAAAAGCATTACAGGCTAATGAAAAGCTTAGACTACATAAGTTTAAGGAAAACTGTTCCAGTCAATGGAAATGATAGTATAGCGAATGAAGGTACTGTTAGGAAACCAGTATATTTACATTGCTATAAGGCAGAAATTGTAAAAGCAAATTGTTGGAAGTGTAACGGGAAATGAATGGGAATAATATGCTTCAGGAGTATTCAAAAAATTAAGTATCGGTAAAATAAATGGATTTTAGTGACAAATGATGCATGTGAAGCATATTCCCTCAGAATCTGTTAGAATGGGAATGCTGTTCAGAATAGACAAGAAAATTCTTCCTTGAATAATGTCACAGTAAGCCAGGTTACCTCTTAGGAGGTTCTGCTTCCAAGGGAGAAGTGTTACGTTACTCCAACAATCCATGTTAAAAAAAATTCACAGGTTGAAAGCTACTGGACAAATTGGTCATTGTTGGTAGTTGATGGTATGATTTGTGTTCCAGATGGGTTGATGGAAGAAAAATAACCTGTGAATTTTGTACAAAGTTAACTTATGAAGTGACTAACTGTGGGAATTGTCCCTAGTTTTCCTTTAAAGGTGTGGATTTAATACAAAGTAATGATCTGGCAAGTATAAAATTCTCAGCATCTCCAAGAATGTTAGTTATGAAAACTAAGATTTTGCAGGAGTAACATTCTAGAATGTTTATCAATTGTGCAGTAGCTACAGCCCAAGCTCAAGAGGTTAGACAGAATTAAACTGATTAACAGCTTGTCCAGAATAAAAAAAAACTAATACCATAAATGCAAAAATATCAAAGGCAGAATCAGGAACTAGGATCTGCTAAAGAAAAACAGGCACGAAAGGCAAGTTTGCTAATGAGAAACATAACTGGTGACAATACTTGAGTGTCAGTCACAGAAGTAAAACACTTAAATGATGGAATGATAAACTTATGGAAGCAAATTCAACCTGATAGATTCTCAATTAAAACCTGTTGAACATCAAGTATATTTGAAATATCATGAAAAACAGTTCAAACAGGAGAAGGAATTGCCAATGAATCAGAGTGGCTAGCTGAATTCAGAATTAAAATCCCAGACAGATTAATGATGGAACTTTGTCTTGAAAACAGCAACAGAAGTTTGAACACTGGTGCAACAAGTTACTTTTTTCAATCACAGGAAATAGGTAATGCTGCTAAGCTAGCATTTATTGCCCATTTCTAATTACCTTAGGAAAGATAGCGGTGAGCTGCATTCTTGAACCATTTTAATCTATGTGGTGAAGGTACACCCACAGTGTTGCTAGACAGCAAGTTCCAGGATTTTAATCCAGCGACCTAATTAGAAGTCAGGATGGTGTGTGGCTTGTATGGGAATTTGCAGGTGATAACGTGCCAATGTCTTTCTACGGTGCCTTCTAAGGAGTCCTGAAGGACTTATGCAGTGCATCTTGTCGATCTACTGACAGGCATTGGTGGAGGAAGTGAATGTTGAAGATGTTGAATGGGATGCAAATTAAGCAGGTGGCTCTGTCCTTGATGATTTTGAGCTTCTTGAGTGTTGTTGGAGTTGTGCTCATCTGGGAAAATGGAGAGTATTCCATCACATTCCTAAATTGTGTTCTGTCGATAGTGGGTAGGCTTGAAGAAATCAGGACATGGTTACTCGCCAACTTACTTCAGCAGCCACAGTATTTAAAGGCTCATCCTGTTCAGTTTCTGGTCAATGGTAGCACCCAAAATATTGACAGCGACAGATTCAGCTATGATAATGCCACTGAATGTCAAGAGTGATGGTCGGATTCCCTTTTGTTGGAGATGGTAATTGCCTGGCACTTGTGTCACATGAATGTCACTTGCCTCTTAGCCTAAATCTGAATGTTGTCAAGATCTTATTGCATTGGAAATGGACAGCTTCAGTATCTAAGGAGTAGTGAATGCTGCTGAACATTGTGCATTTATCAGTGGACATCTACACTTCTGACCTTATGATGGAGAAAAGATTATTGAAGAAGCTGAAGATGAGGTTGTAGACTTGCTCGCCGAGCCAGTGTGTTTGGTTGCAGACGTTTCATCACCCTGCAAGGTAACATCATCAGTGCGCTTCTGGTGAAGCGTTGGTGAAGTGACAGAGTTCCGACAGAACTCCATCAACAAGCACATTGAACTGGAGCTGATATACAAACCAGTGAAAAACAACCAGAAGTAATGCCAACCACCCCATCAAATCGAAGCATATAAATAACAAGCAGGGCAGAACACTAACGCTTCATCAAATTTTGGTACAAGCCCCTAGGGAGGATTTTGCAGACTCAAAAAGGACTGTGCACTATTGTCATTTCCAGTGCCTCGGTTGATGCGGAGTGATCCATTCAGGTTCATTCCTTTTATTTAGATACAACTTGCTAAGCCATTTCAGAGGGCACTTAAAAGTCAACCACATTGTTGTAAATCTGGACCCGAAATGTAGGCCAGAGTGAGTAAGTGAAGACAGCAGATTTTCCTCCCCTAAAGGAGGCACATGAATCAGATTGGTTTTATGACAATTGTTTCATGGTCATTATTGATCTAACATTTAATTTGAGGTTTATCAATTGAATTCAAAGTTTAACATCTGCTATGGTTGAATTTAAGCACATGGCCCTAAAGCATTAGCCTGGTTCTTTGGATTACCAGTTTATTGACAATAGCGTTACATAACCACTTCCCTTCAAATGCAGTACATGCAGAATGAAAGAGCAAATCCATTCTTTAAAACTGCCCAAGGGAAATTTTAAGAAACAGGATGAGGAGCTGGCAAGAAAATTGAAACGGTCTGAAGTGCTGTTAATAACGTTGGAGGAAAGATTCCAAAATGAAGAATGCCCAGGTGAAGTGATCAAACTTGCATACAGGTTTGAGACATGATTCTGAAACTAAGGCAACTGAACTGACCAAAGTAGTTGCTAAGCTGAATGAAAAGGCCAACAAATTGAAAAGGAATAGAAACATCAGAAAGTAAATAAACATTTCAAGGAAATTCTAAAAAAAAAAGGTGAAAAATGAAGGCTCTACTTTTGAAGTGCCAGTGGGAAGAAAATGAATGTGCGCAAAGGACGCGGCACACCTCTTGGATAAATCAGAAAATGGCTCAGGTAAAAAGAGCAAAGCCTCTAGATGCAGCAAAATCTGTTATGGATGAAGTGATTGAAGATGATAATTTTGAAGCTGGTTGTCAATCTGAAACGTGCT